TACTACTACTACTACTACTACTACTACTACTACTACTACTACTACTAGTGCTGCTACTACTACTACTACAACTCACTCCGACTCCGACTCCTACTCCGACTCCTACTACTCCTACTACTCCTCCTCCTACTCCTCCTACTCCTCCTCCTCTTGTTGCTGCTCGCCTTGCTCCTTGCTGCTACTTGCTGGTTACTCCTCTTCAAGCGCTACCTGTCGTCCACCTCCATCGCCTCAACTGCTTCTTGGACCCTCCACAAAGTATATTCGCATATCATGTTTGAAGGCCCAAGTCAATGTCCTGGAAATTTATCATCCATACAGTTTCATGTTTAGGCCCCAAATATGAGCTTGGTTGGTTCCATGGGCATGGCTACGTAGGTGTCGCGAAGACGCAGTCACAGCCTTGTTCGGGACTGTGAATGACTGGGCTACGAACAACCGCTAGATCGCTGAAACCGTTGGAAATTTGCCGTTGGGATCCTTCGCTGTGCGCCTGGCAAGCACAGCTCCAGTTGTATATGCGTGCGGCATCAGCTGCGCATCCTGCAGAACAGTTCCATGCTATACCCCCTCCAGGGTCCCAAGATTGGGGCTGCAAGTGGCAAGCAGTGCAGCCAGTACAAAAAACATACAATGAGTGGACAGTCGTGCGATCGAAGTCCCAAAAAACATTTTAAACATCCTGATGTGAAACTTGGAACCAAAATTATGATTTGTGCAACTTCCTTCGGCCTTCTTCGTTTTGAAACACCTTACAAAAGAATTTGACAAGCTTGAAACCGCCTAAACTTAAACACTCTCTTCCGATCCTGTATATGCCCTACGGGATGATAACATTTTGCACTTTCAGCGCGGGTGGACTTCTGCTTCAATTCGCAGCTTGCGCATTTCTGAGATTTGCCACCATGTTCGGGCAAGCATATTCGTCCCTTCCAGCAGGACAGGGCTTACCAACAATGCATCTTGAATCTTGAGTACTAATTAATAACATGCAAACATGTGCGCAGTTAGTTTGAAACAGACTCACCCAGTGTATGTTCACTTGGCGCTCCTGTAACATTGCATTTCATGTCCACGTCGCTTGACGAGGTCTTTTTGACAACACTCCGGACCTGTTCCTCCTCAGTACGGCATTTGCCTGAGAGATCTACACATGGAAAGATGGGCCGAACTTAAGCCTATTTGAGACTTGAGGATGGAATCTAGCAAGTGTTTCTAATTGAACAGCTGTGAGGTGGTCACCGGCCTGAGCAACGCGCCCAACAGTTGGCCTGAAGGTGACATGGCAAGTGGACATTAGAGATTCAATGCTGATTAATTACAAATGAGTGATTTTGGAAGATAGAAAGGGTGCCAGCCTAGCCAGTGCCAACACTTCCAGCTATCAACCCAATTCGTTGGATGGTCGAGCAAGGAGTTCTTTTTGTGAGACACCCTTGGATCACAATTATGTTCAGCACTCACCACACGGACACGCTCTCGGTTGACGGTTTGGTTGCACATCGCGTGAACCTTCCAAGGTATTCTGGATGGCTTGACGAAATTGGAACAGTTGCACATTGCGCTGAATGGTCTTGTTTGTCCGTACACCGAGATCCCAGATGCTGTTGTGACAGGCGCATGGGAGGATAAAGGCACAGGCAAATTCTGACGGTCCTTGTTTACTCAAGAGTTGCGCGGCGGCTGGGCTCGTTGTGCTAAAAAAGATTTCAAAAGGAGTATCGGAGTATCGCTACTACTCGGTTTGGAGGGTTACGAGGGTTACGGCTTAGGAGGGTAAGAGATTTGTCTTCCCAAGTATCAGCTAGGAAAAGAAGCGTAGTGTGATCAGTTGCTGTGATTCAAGTTTCATCGGATGAAGTTGGCTAGTCGGCAAGTCAGCAGCATTATTTGGTACCTGGTACGCTTCCTTTTGTGGTGTGATGTGAAAAGGTATTTTGCTTCAAGAACAGATGGGTATTAGAAAGGCTTTCCGAGGAAAGTAGGTCAGAAACCTCGGAGCGGTCTTGCACAGCAAAGGCTTGAAGAACATGAAGGAGCTGAGAGGATTTGTGATTTGGGGCTGCCAAGAGATTACATCTTTGCCAAAGAACCTCTTCAAGCAGAACACAAAGTTGGAGGCACAGAGGGTAATTCTCCAAGAACTCTTTGAGGACACGACTATGACCCTCCAACTTTTCCTGTTTGCAAGCGATGTGTGAAGCCCGAGACCTTCTGAGAGACAGAGCGGAGTCATGAGTCGTTTTGGAAGCATCTCCCATTTTGACAGGTGGTATACCTCTTCAACAATGGCATTACCAGCTTTGATGAGAACCTCTTTGCAACTACGTGCCTCAGAGTCTGCAAGAGCGACAGAGAATAGGTCACTAGGTGTACATCATTGTACGTTCTTCGTGTTGAGTAGTCTTCGCTTGAGCAGTCATACGCGCTACAGTAAGCAGGAGTGAAGCATCTTCAGGCTCTTCATTTCGAATTCGATCGAGAATCGTTCCCTTCATTGCATGGGCCTTGGGAGAAGTTGATAGCCATATTTGAGAGACTGGAGCGGTATTGGGCTTGAGAGACCTAAAAATTGAACGACTGAAGCCATCCTAACTTTTGGTTCAGGTGGGAGAGAGCTGCCTTCTACTTAAGTATATTTTGTCTTGTTGTGCAACTTAGACCATAGCACAAATCGGTCTCAGTCCATCCACTCAGGTTTGTCAATCCTTGGATATAAAGCTGACTTTAAACTACAGAACAATTTGATCTTTCACAACCGGCACAGGGACGGAGGCCTCAAGATTCTTGCGGTTGATTACAACAATCACAGCCTTGACTGTGCATATGCCATGCGCTGGGGCAGCCTTTATCCAGGAGTTGGTAGCTTTGCTTGAACTTTTGGCACTCACTTTTGAATTTTTTGTTTGATATCGAGATAGCCCTGGGTGACATTCAAAGGCAATACAGTATGTGAATCCTGCCACAAGTGCAAGAATGTGCGGAGCTTTTGTCACACCTTAGATGACGCTGTCCTGGCCAATGAGCAAGAGTCCGCTTGCTATGATCGATGCACCTCAGCTTGGATTTGGCCGCTGTCGGAGTTGCAATAGCATGCCTTGGAAAGCTGGCATGGCAGATTTGAGATGTTTTGAATTGTTTTGAGATCCAGTCGTGAAGTGCCTGAATGCAGGAAAGGGCATCCATTTTCCATCCCCTTGATTGCTTCAACCATGATCCAAACGCACTTGTTTAACACTAAGAGCAGCTGCTCTTGATTCAACGTGGGTTGTGACAGGTGTTGAGCAAAACACACACTTGGGAAAGGATTTGTTCGATTGGAATGCCACATGGAAACCTCGGTGAAACAAGTTTGTGGCTAAAGAGGAGTTCAAAAAGTGCGTGACTGCCGTGCATTAGCTCTTTAGTGCGAAACACCGGAGTCGGAGGGGAACAGCTTGATCATTACTTAGGATCACGCCAGTTTCGAAGGAAGCAGTGTGTCCTCCAGCTGCTTCTTAAATACGCCATAATGGGCCCAAGAGCGACACAAAGCAGGTACAGGACACCATGTCCAGTATTCCAACCGGACACCATAGCTTTGTTAACGCGGCTAGGTGTCGCCGTGTCCCCTGCATAACAGGCCAAAAGGTTCCCTGTGACTCCGAGGGTTCACACACTTATGATTTTGCGTACTGAACTGAATGCGGTGCCACACGCCAGCCTAGGTTACCATTTCCTAAGAGTACAAGTAAGAACCAACGGATCCTGGAGGTCTTCAAAAGGAGAAGGGGCCAAAAGCGCAAGTCGAAGTCGAGAGGACAGGATGACGACGTACGTGCATGTCTGCGGAATGCAACTATAGCACTTTACGACTCACCTCTGCAAAGGTTAAAATTCAAGCAGGTACACAGAGCTGATCAGGCTCTGCTTCCAGCACAAGTGGATCGCTTCCTTGGGTGCAGTCTCCACTGTGCTCTGCACCCCCCTGCTAAACAAATTGAAAAGTGAAAACTCAACAGTACAATCCGAATGGATCCCTGAGGGGGACACACACACGCCTCCCTGAAGGGAGGCATATTTTGGTCTAGGCTCCGGACAAGGGTGGGTCTGGTGAAAAGTAAGAAAACCGGCGAACTTCCCGGAAAGTTTGGCACGCCGTGAGCAGGAGTCTCATGGCGGGGGGAACAGGAAGTGGTGGGGAGGAACTCATTACTCTAGAGTACTAAAGCTCCGACAGGTTCCAATGAACCTTGAGCAAGCTTTGGCCGCTGCGGCCGCGTACGCCGTGCCAAAATGGCTGGCTGCTTTGACTTTGGCCCCTTCTCCTTTTGAAGACCTCCAGGATCCGTTGGCTCTCTTAGGAAATGGTAACCTAGGCTGGCGTGTGGCACCGCATTCAGTTCAGCACGCAAAATCATAAGTGTGTCTGGCTTCACGCCAGCCCAGGGTGACCCCGAGGAGTGGCCCGTGTGGACCCGTTGAACGGGTGTTTGTCGATCGTATCCCCTGCCCGGATACAAAGCTGCTCGTAGCGAGCGTAGGTGGCCTAGGCCGAGAGTACTCAGATTTTTGTCGCACTTTTGAACTCCAAGCTGGCTCATGCCTTCAGTCGAGACAACAGGATGACGACGTACGTGCATGTCTGCGGAATGCAACTAGCACTTTACGACTCACCTCTGCAATGGTTAAAATTCAAGCAGGTACACAAAGCTGATCAGGCTCTGCTTCCAGCACAAGTGGATAGCTTCGTTGGGTGCAGTCTCCACTGTGCTCTGCACCCCCTGCTAAACAAATTGAAAAGTGAAAACTCAACAGTACAATCCGAATGGATCCCTGTGACTACAAGGGGCGCACACACTTAGGATAGGGTGTACTGAACTGAAAGCGGTGCCACACGCCGGCCTAGGGTTCCAATTCCTAAGGGAACAAGTACGAACCACGGGAACCTGGAGGACTTTAAGAGGAAAGAAGGCCCAAAGCGGAAGAAACCCATCGACGATCGCGGATCAAGCAGGCTGACGACGTTCGTTCATGTCTGCCGAGTGCATTAGCCCTTTACCAAAGGTTTTAAAATTGCGCAGGTACAAGTGGTTGATCAGACCACTCATCCGCCGAAATGCCATAGCTTCGTTGGACTGGATAGGCAAATCGGCTCCAGTCCCCCTGCTACACAAGGAAAACAACTGTGAAGCGAAAACAATCCGAAAGGATCCCTATGATTCCAAGGGTTACACACACACGCCTCCCCGAGGGGAGGCAAGATTTTTAGGCTCCGCGCCATAGGTGGTGTGAGACTCTTCGTCCCCAAGTAGTGGTAAGGCCAGGAACCTCTAGTAGCGTCAAAGAAACACCTAACACCTAGTGGGAAGGCCAGGAGCCCCTAGTAGCATCCCAAGCTAAGGTGCCGACAAGTAGGGAGAGACGAGAAAAAGGAGAGAAGAGAAAAGAAGGTGTTCCCAGCTACGACGCAAGCGTCCAAGGACACACCAAAGGAGGTTCCCAGCTATGACAAAAGCATCCAGGGACACCCAAGGAGGGAGGAAGGAGAGAGAGAAGGAAAGAAAGAAAGAGAGAGGGAGAGAAAGGGAGAGGAGAGAAAAAAGAAAAAAAGGCAGGTGTTCCCAGCTACGAGCAAGCGTCCAGGGACACACCAAAGAAAGAGAGGGGTGATCCTGAGTGTTGCATTCAGGAAAACCCCAGGAAGCAAAGAAAGAAAGGGGGAAGGGAAGGGGGAGAAGGGGGCTAAGGTCGCGACAGGTTCCAATGAACCTTGAACAAACTTCGGTCGCTGCGACCACGTACGGCTTGCCCAGGGGCTGCCATCTTTGACCGCTACGGTCACGTAAAGGCATGAGCCAGCTTAGAATTCCAAAGATGGGACAAAATCATCGTACGTACGGCCTAGGCCACCTACGCTCGCTGCGAGCTGCTCTGTATCCGGGCAGTGGATACGTTCGACGTACACCCGTTCGACGGGTCCACGGGAGGCACTCTGCGGGCTCATCCCGGGTTGGCGCGAGGCCAAACACACTTAGGATAGGGTGTACTGAACTGAAAGCGGTGCCACACGCCGGCCTAGGGTTCCAATTCCTAAGGGAACAAGTACGAACCACGGGAACCTGGAGGACTTTAAGAGGAAAGAAGGCCCAAAGCGGAAGAAACCCATCGACGATCGCGGATCAAGCAGGCTGACGACGTTCGTTCATGTCTGCCAAGTGCATTAGCCCTTTACCAAAGGTTTAAAAATTGTGCAGGTACAAGTGGTTGATCAGACCACTCATCCGCCGAAATGCCATAGCTTCGTTGGACTGGATAGGCAAATCGGCTCCAGTCCCCCTGCTACACAAGGAAAACAACTCTGAAGCGAAAACAATCCGAAAGGATCCCTATGATTCCAAGGGTTACACACACACAGGATCCTAAACGGATCTAAGCGGCATTTTTTGGGGTACGGAGTTGTTTCTGTGTTCGTCACGTTGGATGCTGCCAGGCGGCGATGTTTGCCCCATGGTTTTGAAAGCCAAGACGCTGAATCCGGGAGTCTATGTGACCTTCGGAAACTGGCGCTACCAAACCCTAGAGCCGGACGGTGGATATTCAGGAGGCAGTTTGCTGGAGGCTGGAAGATGTTGGAAGTACCAAAAAACATCAAAAAACAAACGTGTGTTTGGTTGGCATGCCACGTGTCGTGACGTGCAGATGGATTCCGAAACCGATGCAGCTTGGCGTGAAGGCTTTCACAGGAGCACGATGCTTTCAAGTGCGGTCAAGGACAGTTTTGTTTGTGGGGGGTAGGCCGTAGTAGCTTAAGTAGCTACCGGTCAGGGGTAGCTACTATAGATACTAAGCTTAAGCAGCTACAACCTAAGACGCAGGAAAGTTCACATTTCTTCAAGGAAGCATTCGCCTGAGGGCGGGGGGAGTTTCCTTTTTTTACTCTCATGCCGCACGACGAGGTCTTCGGCGACCCATGAACATTCCGCGTCATGGGTCAGTAAACCATCTAGGTCACAGCAAAGATTCAAAAGCTAGGTTCCAAGACAGCGGATTTTCTTTCTCCCCTTTTTGGCCCGGGTGTCAGGCCCAGGTGTCAGGCCCAGGGTGTAGGGCTCAGAATATAGGCATCTTGATGGTTGTAGCTCCAGGTTTTCATCACAGAAGCACTCCAGTCAACTGATACATGCGTCGCAAAAGTTTGGCCTTGATTCGCATACTGAAGCCACCACATCGACCGCAGCCATCCCTCGTATGCCCCTGAAAACAGGTGAGAGACGTTCCATGGCATGCTATCATGATGCTTAGGGAGGTTCCACAGCGGCACCGTCTGGTCAACACGAAATGGTCCTCGGGGGGGAGTTTCCTTGAAGAAGCCTTCACACTATTCATTTGGTTTCTAGGCTCATGTGCTGGATGGCTGACTGAGGCTGAGAAGAATATCGCAGCTGAACGCTATGCTCTCCAGGTAATTGGAGAAGCGGGATGCCCCTTTGCAAACACTGTGACTAGATGACGCGCGACAAATTCGGCAGATTGTACAGCAAAAGAAATTAATAATGTGGACACTCACTGGACGAAACTGGAGTACCGTCTCAAAGCAGCCACAGCAGCATCTCAAACTTGTTTCTGCATAGCATCGTGTTCAATCCTTGTATAGTCAAGTGCCATGTAGGACAACTGACAAGGAAGGTTCTTTTATCACAGCTGGGAAACCTGCTCAATGACCCTTCAAGTAGGCTACCCTTGCCGAGGTCGTTCATGGGCCCTCAGCAGTCGAACAGAAGATCATGAGACATTCAGGAGCTTTGTCAGTGTTTATGGCGCCAGTGACTGCCAATGATCGCAGTTCCTGTGGATGGACTTTATTTACTGTATCTCAATCCTCCGGATTCAGGTATCACTGGTGTCAGCCTACATGGTTTTAGGGATCCAAATTGCCAATAGGGTCCGGTTTTGCCCACACTCATTTGTGAGTTTTCCGTTGGACGTTTTTCTTTGTTCTTGTCGCATTGCTGTGATGCTGGGTATCGAAGGGCAGTCACTGGCACCAGGAAGCTGTGCAGCGACATGTCCATGGCCCAAATCCGTGCTGATGCGAAGAGTGATGCACAACATGCGCTTCGCCACAAGCACGGTTTGCACCAAGGCCATGTCAGTACCATTCCTAGTGAGTCAGATCTCATCAGATCTCCGGTGTTTCTGAGACCTGGATCCCAACATCTCCGAAGCAGCATCCAATCAGTTTCTATTGAATACAGCAATTGCTGGTCTCATCTGACGTAGTCTCTTTTAAGGCCTTTGGAAGAGGCAAAATGAGGGGATAAAAATGCCGTCGGACATACTGGCTGTTGGACTTGACAGCGCCATGCCAGGCCCCAAGACTCCACAGCCTTCCTGGCCTGGCGGATGCGCTCAGCAGCAAAGCGCAAGAAGTTTAGAGTTTAGATCATCCATCGTCCATGATCAACCCTTTACAGAAAAAGAAACCTTTATGAACAGAATGAATGAACCTCTTGGACATGAGGTGGAATGAAAAGGAAACAAGATGGAGCCCAAACACAAACGGCCCAACGTTGTTTGACAATCTTGCTTGACACTCTTCAAAGACTTGCTTGAAGAACATTCTGGGATGACACTCTTCTAGGACACGCTTGTGCGACACTTTTGCTTGTCACTCTTGTGCGACACTCTTCTATATAAAAGGACACTCTTGTGCCACACACACACATGTCGGAAACTCGTGTACCTTGCGGACACACTTGTGGGACACTCTGAAAGGATCTTATAGGTCACTGTTGCCGGGCACTCTTACAGGGCGCTCTTGTAGGACACTATTGTAGGACACTCTTCTGGGAGACTTTTGCAAGACACTCTTGTAGGACGCTCTCGCAAGACACTGTTGCAGGACACTCTTCTGGGGCACTCTTGTAGGGCATTCTTGTGGGAAACTCTGGTGGGACACTATTGTACTATTGTAGGACACACTTGCCGCGACGCCTTTGGAGGACACTTTCTTCAAAACGATGAAATCACATGTCACAGTCCAGGCTGTAAAACGAGCATTTCGTTCGAGATGCCATCCAACACTGACGCGTCAAGCCTTCGAGACTTCTTCCTCCAAAAGTCCAAAACGAGCGTTTCGCGCTCAAAAGTGATCCATCAAGTCTCCAAAACATCCTTTGTGCTTGGTCCTCTATAGGATGACTACAGTATCATTTGACTCTAGACGAAACCATGCCTTTTTGGACCTTCATTTTATAGAGAGTAACCTGTTTTGTAGTTTGTTTTTTTTACGGATCGTTTGACAGCATTTTATAGAGGCTGTTTGTTGTTTTTTAAGTGTATATTATTATTGCATGTCTTGTGAACCTGGCAAGAGAAATTGTTGGAGGAGTGGAAGGCTTCCAAAAAGACCTAGCTTTAGATTTGGTTTTGCATTTTTTGAAAAACATGTTGTGAGAGCATCTGGATCAGGTTTTGCAGTTTATAGATAATTTAGGGGTTGACATGTGTGACAGCGTTCGCACCTGGCAATAGCAACTTATAGAAAAAACATGTTTGCCACATTTGATAGAGGGGGGTAGGGCTAAAATGAGAAAGCAGAATACACAAAAAATAATGTGCAAATGTGCCAAAATTTGCTCCATGTCATCCTATACAGACGATCGTAGTATAAATGACCAACCAGGTACAAATCGCGCAACGACTAGATTTATTTGCATCAGTGTTTGGTTTGTCATTTAATCGTGATCTCCGCTGTCACTCTAAAATGACCTGGCCATATCTTTTGATATATATATATAGATAGATATTATTATATATTGATTACTGTTTTTATAATTTGATGTACCTTGATTCGTCTATCCCTTGCCAGGCACTTTACAGATAAAATATGTGATCTGACAAATTTCTTTCCTGGATCCAGTTTTGCATTTTATAGAGATCTCTTGTTTTGTTTCTGAGGCTTCACTTCTCATCATATTATACTACTGCTGGCATTTTATAGACACACCTGTGCCAGTCATTTTATAGAGACCATTTCTCTATAAAATGCCTGGCACGTGTGATTCCAGTGTCTAAGCAAAATCAAGCACTTCGTACAAGACTTCTGCAAGGATTCTTTACACGACAATCCGCAAAACGTGCATTTCATACGAGACTCCAATGTGAAGCGGAAAGTCTCATCAACCCTGCCGAGCAGTTGTTTCGCAACCGAAGCCCCTCCAAAACAGCAGTCGCCAATCCCAATGGCACAGCGGCAGTTACATGCACCCGCGCCTGCCATGAACAGTGACTACGCCACACCTTGACATGTTTGGCAAAATTTGCACCGCCACATGCGTTTGGAATGATTTCGACACACTGCTGCTTTAGACCCCTCAAGATCGCAATTTTACCTGAGTTTTGTAGGAAAACGCTTCAAGAGCAAATCCTAATGGCACAGTGACTTTCAACACCTCCACAGACCTGTGAGGCAAAGCTGACCTCACGAAACAGTGCAACTGCACAGCAAAATCATTCTTCACACGGCATGTCAGGTTTCCACGTTATTTCTGACATGAATCTGACACTTCGTGCTTCCAAGACCTCACAAAGACTACTGTACCCGAACAGGAGGGCCGGGCCTTATCAATCAAATGCCAACGATTGCTGGCGGCTGCGAACGGCGGCAAACGGATGCGAGTGTGAAAGCAATGTCATGCAAACAAGGCTCTACCCCAGACTCCCAGAGTTCAACGAGAACCCTTCGTTATGCACTCGGGACAAAACACGAGATCGAAAGAAGGAAACGAAGAAAGAACAAGAAACAACAAAGAACACACACAAATAACAAAATAAGGAAAACACAGACACGAACATCAACACAGGAATCTTTCAAGAAATAATAAGAAATATAATGCTCCTGGAACTGGACAATGGTGAATCGAACTTCTCCCCAGGTATTGTGACTACTTCATGGCCACCTGCACTGCCCCCAGCGGCCCCATTGGCAGGTACTACTCCAGCAACTCGCCAGCTGCACATGTTTGCATTGAAGCTTTAGATGTTTTACGATTTGTTTGAGGTTTACCAAAAACACATTCTTTTTTTGCGGAGCAGCATTGCATGAAAGCTCCAGAATGAAAATGGAATTATATCTCTTTAAGCTGTAAAGCCTGGTGCCCGCTCTCACTCAGGCACCACTGAGTGTCGTGAGGAATGCGCAAAAATCCCAGTAACGGCCCCAACCATCCAACAGGGCAACACCATGGCATGTACCTTGGCAGCAATGCTTTGTTTTTACTGTGTTCGAGGCAAGCAGTGACTGAAGCCGCAGGGCCCAAATGATGCTGTGAGAGACAAGCAGTGACCGTACCCTTTCTTGTCTAGAATTTCACCTTCATGAGCCTTGTTCAATCAACCATTTCCACGCTGAAGGTTTGCATCTGCAGGGTCTCGCGTGCAGTTTTGTGGATGAGTACAGCGAAACAGCTCCATCCTCCGTGTTTTTCAGTATATATATATACTGTATATATATCTATATTTACAGCCTTCGGCATGCCGCCGGCCACCAGCTCGAGCCCGCATTGGCAGGCAGCCTAATGATGCAAACCGTAGATTGAAACCAACCGGGGCAGGGCAGGCTGTCGAAACATCCGCGCGAAGAAACAAACCGTAGATTGAAACCAACCGTAGATTGAAACCAATGGAAACCAACACAAGCCAGACGAAGCAAGACAATCCACAAAACCGGTACTTGAAAATGAGTCTTCTTCCAAACTACTTGGCCTTTTGCATGTTTTCCTTGTCAGATCTTTTTTTCGACCGTCTTGAGGAATTGCGAGTCGCACAAGATATTCTTTTTCACATACAGAAGGCTTCAAAGCGACCGAAGAATTTCTTGATCTGGCATGATTTGTCGTTTTTTCTCCAAACCGTTCGAAATGAAAGACCCAGAATGACATCGAACAACAATACCCTGCTCAATCATATTTGTTGGTGCATTGGAGTTGCACATTTGGCTGGGTGAGTTTGTTGATGTTTATTTCAAGGTTGTTTGACCATGAAATGGAACGAATCCGAATCAGAGGTTGTCTATTCTGATCCAGCGATCCGAACCGGCATGTCTCAGTCGAATCACCTAACAGGAACCAATTGAAACCAACACAAGCAATGCGAACCAAGACTATCCACAAAACATGACCTTGAAAACGATTCTTCTTCCAAACTACTTGGCCGTTTGCATGTTTTCCTTTTCAGATCTTTTTTCCGACCGTCTCGAGGGATTGCGACACGCACCAGATATTCTTTTTCACACACAGAAGGCTTCAAAGCGACCGAAGAATTTCTAGATCTGGCATGATTTGTCGTTTTTTTCTCCAAACCGTTTGAAATGAAAGACCCAGAATGACATCGAACAACAATACCCTGCTCAATCAGACTTGTGGGTGCATTGGAGTTGCACATTTTGCTGGGAGAGTTTGTTGATGTTGATTTCAAGCGAAGTCGTTTTACAATGAAATGGAACGAATCCGAATCAGAGGTTGTCTATTCTGATCCAGCGATCGATATGTCTCAGTCCAATGGTTGTCTATTCTGATCCAACGATCGACATGTCTCAGTCCAATCACCTTAGACGTAGAGAGGGGGGGGAGGGGGGGAGGGGGGGGTGAGGGGTAAGTTCCCCCAGAAGTAGCATTTGCTTAACTGGACCTGATCGAAACACCAAGTGAAGTCACACGAATGCCATCGGTGTGCGAGCGGCAGCGATGCACACCTTTTCTATGGCTGCGGATGCAGGTATTGGGCTACTAAGTCTTGAGCCTTGAGCCAAATGAATTAGGTCGAAAGCGGACTGAAGAGCTACGAACTAATCTATACAAGATAACAGGTGCTACACACGTATAGCGTAGACACGCCTAGGGGACCTAGGACCCTACCAAACACAAAACAGACACAAATTTTCTTCGTGTCGAAGCTTACGATTTCTAAAGTACAAAAGCTTGGATGGCAAAAGGATGCAAATGAATTACAAGAGTTCTGTCTTCGCAGAACTAGACCGTAGATGCCATTCTGGCTCATCTAGGTTGCGTCAGATAATCTTTACAAATCTACGAAAGGCATATTGCTGCATCGAACGTTCCGGAATATCGGAGATCTTCTTATTCAAGTCAAATTGTTAAGTCAAAATCAAATCTGTAAGGCCTTTATTTTAGATGTATCTGGGTCTTTCAAAATATGCATTTAGCTCTCTGGCACTTAGCTGTGGTCTAGCCGGCATATCGGCTTCTCAGAGACTATCTACCAGTTCCTGTACCCACGGTTCCAGGATGATGATGAGGAACTGGCATACCACCATGAACTTGATGCGCCCGAGGACCAGCTGTCCGATGGCTGCCAGGACTGGTCCCAGCCTGCTTGACGAGCTTGTCGGTTCTGCCGAGATCGTTCCTTCAAA